GAGATGCCTTTTTGACGCCACAAGTGACGCAAATTAGCAAACGTGATTCGAGCCTTTGAGATTCTTGCACTGACTTCATCAGACACACTTCCGTCAGAGCTAATACAACTACCGAGTTATGTAAAGTTTTTCACAATCTCCAGTGGTTCTCCTTGAATTGTAAGGGATATGTCCGCAGATGGCACGTTCTGAAGCAGGACTTTGCACTTTGAAGGTGCAAGGCGCATGCCAAATGATGGTATGATGGCGGTCAGTTTATTCAACAGGGTTTGTGCTTCGCTATGGTCTTCAAAGATGAGGGCGATGTCATCTGCGTACTCCAGATCGACAAGCCTCTCGCCAGCAACAATTTGAACACCAGGGTTTTGCATCGAAGCTATTGCCTCCAATGCATAGCTCCCTTCCAAATGCACCCAATTAACCGTCCACCAACAGTGCTGTATTTACGCACTAATTAATCAGCTCTCGCCTCCAATGCGCAGCTACCTAACCCACCTCCCCGAACCATCAGTGAACGAAACTGTGGTAGCTACAACCACTGTGCGTCAAGTACGCGGTTATTACAGCTGACAATGATGATGATGATGATGAGAGTTACCTCTCAGAGGGTCGGGGCATATTAGCCATGATCTTGCTCTTCGGATGCATCCTACACCAGTAAACGAGCAACAGAATACGGAAGGGACTATATTGTTTGCCAGGAAGTGAAGATCCCCATTGGCTGCCAAGAGAACTTAGACAATCATACAGTTCATATAGAGTGAAATGTTTTAGTACGTTCTTCCAATGACTCGACTCACCGGGATCGCGCTGAAATCAGGATAAATTTGTGGTCTCCCAATCGAGTGAAGAGGTAAATGAGTAAATGTAACGACCCTGTCATTAGTGTACAAAGTTTCGGTGAGGAATACTCAGAGAAATGTTGAGGATTATGTTGACCTGTATTTCGCTTCCAACTGACGAGTAGCTGAGGTCGATGAAAACCCATGCCAACCTGTACAGACTTCATGGTGATGTAACTTCCGAAGAATAAAGAGTACAGTGATACCAAGGAAACCTTATAATCTCACCTCTCGTACGGTGCACAAAAATGTTCATATTTTGTGGTTGTGTGGTTTCTGAATAATAATTGTGTAGATTATCAAATGGGGTAGTCGGTCAACTTGCAAACACCCAAGGGGATCAGGCATGGGTCCTAACAAGTTAGACACCTGTGCCATTTGGGTTCAATTGAGATGACTTGTCTCACGATAGTTCCGATGTCATCGACGCCAGAAATGTTTTCTGAGTCGAGTAGTCTAGTTGGTCGACAGGAGATATCCCCCGGCTGTAACTGAAGAGCCTTGCAAATATCCGTACGCGCTGCACAAATGGCAGCCGTTCGTTGATTAGCGGTGATTTTGTTTTGAACAATAACGCGTTACGCCGCTCATGAGCATTCATTTCGCAATAATGTCGGAGGTCCTACTTTGAAGACTGGGGATACATTTTGTGCTTCATATTCCTATAGTTGTACTCAGCTTCATAAGGCAGCTGTGTTTCCGAACAGATTGTACTGACCATTCATCTCATGACGACTTTGATCACCACAAACGAAATATCACTTAAACCGTAATGCAGTTCTTGGAGTCATTCCTTTGTCGTGACCACCACGGAAAAGGAAGTAGTCATTCCTTCCTGACGCTGATCTCCCTGGCCAAACGTCATGCTGTGGCCAACGGAGAAAGTCCTTGCGGATCACTTGGAGAACTGGCTCTTCTTCAGAGGGATCCTCCTGAGGAACACACTTTTAATCTATAAGATTCATTTCAAGGACCGACCGCATATGCGGTGCGTAGGGTAAGTCTCCCCTGATGCAAACTGAGTCGTTATGATAAGCCTCGAAATAACAATAAATTACCCTATTACCTATTCTACGAGCCTTCCAGATACAATTTATGATTGTCTGCACAAACAATCTTCTGTAGCTCTCAGGATTACGTTCCTGATGACGCTGATGGTGGTTGTAGACGAGTGTTGTAGTTTTGAAAATATTAACTATTGAAACCGACAGTCGATCACAGTTTGCCCTGGAATGTACTGACTGTACCAAGAAAAGTCACCTTTGTCAAGCAAGTCATGAAGTCTCTGGAGCAAACATTCAACGTCGAGTTTATTTTGTTGAAAAGTATGGCAAAGGGCTTTGGTTGGTTGTTTAAATCACATGGTGGTGGGAAACATGGAGGAATCCTAAGCATGAAATTGGTTCCGTTGAATGTCCTTTTCACTAAAGGATAACCGAAGACTCACCATTAACGGAAAACCATGGTTATTTTACACTTGGACATCTTAAAGGATACCGCCCGTACTCAGTGGTTCGGGTGTGTGTTTGTGCCGGTTCTGTTGCCTTCGATTATCAAAAGCTCACAGTAACAATGTTCGCTAAGCGAAATATTTATTGCAACTGTTATCCTGTTTCTAAAAGGAAAGATTGAATACGATGTGACGCTGGATATCTTAAACTGTTTGATGCGCTCGGCAAGGTTTAAGGATTCCAATCTATCTAAGGACTGGTCTCTCGCTTTGCAGGACAAGTCCCACCAGACCCATGCGGTCTCTTCGTAACAGTATTTGACGTTCCAAAGTGTTAAGTTTCTTGGTTTGGTGTGTTACCGGTAACGGAGAATTTCTTATCCGTTTATTGGCAATGATCTGCTGTGCAACCTAATCGTTGAGGTGCGTTGATCGAAGAAAACCTCACCGGAACGATAGATGATCGTGAGGAGTCAGACGCGATCAGAAAATTATATAGACATGCTACCGGGACGCTGATACCGTACATAAGGCGTTTATAGTCCAACCCGGTTCAAAGGACAACGGAGAAGAGTAAAGGTCACAAGGAGAAACATGAGTTGTCTACAAGATAAGATCAAATTCTCACAGATGGCTCAGAACCTGGTCGTATCCTAGACAATGCATGCTTTCCTTAGCTTATGCGCTGCCTTAATTGATAATAGTACCTATTTCGACTATTATGAAAAACTACGTTTCTGGTACAGAGCATTATGCCTGTTTACGGGAAAACTTTTGGGCCTCGTTGGCGAATAAATGCATAATGAGTTCCAACGTATCTTTTCGTTTTCTTCGTGATCTCTCAAGTTGTTTGTTTTGATCCCTCGTTGTAATCTACATAAGTTCGGTGCAGGCTGAGACACTGACTACTGAATGCACTCTTGATATCAGTTTTATAACTGGTGGCATCTGTCAGACGACGGAAATTTAGACGGTTTCATACGTTTTTATGTTCACAGTATGTAGTGACTCACCTGTCCCTCTGTCTTGCCTACGGGTGTTTTGACTTTGTCTTCTGCTATCCACGTCCCACTTTCTTGCCATAAAAGGCGCTGAGGCTTGCCAGTTTCTTCGTCCAGACCAATCGCAGTCCATGGTGCTTGCTCCAACAATTGACACAAAACCAGAACTACGTCGTTGGTTTGGAGCAATCGGCGTGCAACGCCCAAAGGAAGCACGCTGTTAGCTGACAAACTGTGATCAATGAGATGTCGAACCAGTGAAACTGCCTTCATTCCTTTGTCAAATGAAATTACACGGTTCTGACGTTCCAGATCTCCTAAGTTATTGTCCAGTACCTGGATATATTTGAATACATCAAGTGTAGTAAGGGGTGAAGGATTCAGAGACGGAAATCAACAGCGTGAAGTATTCACTCCAAGCTTAACAGATTACTGTATTAATACAGACCTCTCAGTGAAATCTGGAAGGGAAATCTGAATGCCGAAAGTGAGGAAGACGGAAGCGGAGTGGTGCTTTTGGATGTCTTTATGACAAGGGGGATTGTGGTTCACACAACGGTGCATTCTGAACATTTACGTGGAACGAATTATATCCGAAGTCAAAACCCACATGAAACAATCAGTGGTTACATAGGGCTTATCAGAGTGTAACATTCGACAGCTTAAAGTGGGAAGTTTATCTCCTGAGAAATATTTTGGCCCAAAGTGAGTGCCCACCTAGATTTATCAAAAATTACCATAACTCTAAGACGTCGCCTGATGTGGCTATAGCTGTTCACCAAAAAGGTTATGGACTGATGGTTCGTCCAATAAATAATGCAGCTTGAACTTAGCCCTCAAGCAAACCTTCAGATCAATCCAACTCATGTTGACTGAATAAACCACACATGCGCTAACTTACTCAATAAAAGATTCGATGGCCTCACAGGTCAAAGCAAACTTCATTTATCCAGTTGGTTGTACCTGCAGATTGGCCGGCGCATGGGGAGGTTTGGAACTCATACTGTCAAATGCGTCGCTGGGTTCCTTCAAAATACAAGCCCAAGTAACTGTTAAGGTCCACTGGTTGTCTGAAAGGGACTAACCACCAAGTAAATCGCTTTACAGCTTAAGTATTCATTTGTGTACCTAGTACTACTGCACCCTCATCGTCCACACAATAAACATGGTGAATGAGGTTATGGCAGCTTGGTTGTTATAACTCGTAGACCCAATTTATGCCCTTAATACTAGCCCATTCAAAATTCTCATCCACATCCTGCATCCTGTATGTCATCTCATCAGCAGCAGTAGGGTCAGAAACTTCAGTGTTGATACTGATGCTTTACTGCCGTATAGACGCAACGTTTGTCTAAATATATTTCATGTCCAATGTGAAGAAGGAGAACGCGTGAAGGGGAGACCTAATGATGGTCTATCTCAGGCATTCTGAGGTGCCTAAAAATCCAAGCGCCCCGTTAAGTAATCCATTAAAAAATGAAAAACGCGGAAGCCGTTGACACCGATCAGCCGTCAGCTTTAGCAATGTTTTTAGCTAGGCGTAGGAGGTATCTTTAGGGCCCACCTTGGATGGCGCACGCTATAACAACACCAAAACTCTGTGTGATCCCTATCTCACCATTCCGCCAAGCAATAAATTGTCCACTTCGCGATTTCCGCTTTTCTGAAAGAGGCACAAAGGATAACACTAATCTCCGTAAAGGGTGGTTCGGCATGCATAGCAGATGACCGAAACAACGTAGTTGATAGTGCTAGATATTTTCCGCGATTGAAGTACTTGCTGCAAAACTAAATACCAGTTTCCTAATAAACTCGTAACGCATCCATTGACGCCATTCAGCACCAGGAGTGCTTCTGAGGCATCGCAAGTTAAAAAACTGGATGGACACCACAACATCTGTTTGTAGAGGCCATATTTCGCAGCCATAAAACAATATACACCTTACTGGACCCTGGCACACCCAATACTTGAAACTCAGTGATATGTATTTTTGACGATAAGTGATGCAAATTAGAAAACGCGATTTGGGATTTGTGCACTGACTTCATCAGACGCATTTACGTCAGTGCTAATACATCTGCTGGGGTATGTAAAATTTTCCACAACCTCCAGTGATTCTCCTTGGATTCTAAAGGGTGTGTTAAGAGACTGCACATTAAGAAGCATGACTTTGCACTTTGAAAGTGCAAGCCTCGTGCCATAAAATAATATGACGGTGATCAATCTATTCAAGCGAACTTGGTCCCCTTGGTCGTCAACTGACAATTTTCTCACCAGCGCCGACTTGAACCCTAAGGTTTTAAGGACCTTACAGCGTTCATCTCGCGAGTTCATCATAGACGAAGTTGAACATAACTAGGGAAAGTAAACATCTTTTTCCGACACCGGTTTCTGTAGGGAGGCTTTTGAAAGAGCTCAACATTTACTCTCACCCCCATAAGTATGTGAATACAGGCATCGGATTATGCTCACAAAATTCTGGGGCATGCCATGTTGGGCAAATGTGGTTAGCATCACTGATTAGTTGACAGAATCAAACTCACCCATGAAATTAAGAAACACCAAGACTGTGGATCGCCTGTACATGTGGCAATGCTTTAACACCTAACGGAGTGTGAAGATGTGGTCGAAGCACCTTCAGTCCGTTTGAAATCCCACTTGATGCTCACGGGTCAAGGATCCGCATCCCATCGTAAGACGACGGGGCATCAGTGACGACACAAGCCTTTTTGCAACGACAGTCAAACCAACAACTCTGTGATTACTACATTCATTGAAAGTGACCTTTTTCGAAAATGAGCACCCTAATTACTTGAAACGGACTCTTTCTCCCAGGCTAGACAGGTATTGGCTGAAGAATTCGCCGCCGTCCTTGAACAAAGTGGATAGAGGGTTGTCAGGGCCAGGAGCAGCATGACGCTTGAGTAGAAATATACAGTCGGGCACTTCGGAGGCTGAGGGGGTTCCATGTTCTCAATCCACCTCTCTGATAAAGGCCAGCAGTCCGGATTGGAGGTCCGAGGTTTTTCTCAGAAGTATTGTGCCCAGCGATCCAAGCATTCTCCCTTGCTGAACACCAAGGATCCATTTTGGTCCCTGATAACTTCACTGACAAGATACTTTTGAGGACCAGTCGAACGAATCAAGTTAAATAGCTTGCGGACGTTTCCAGCAGTTGTTGCATCATCTATTTCTTCGGCCTTCCGGGTTCTCCGAGCTTCATGGTTTGCACGGATATCTGACGTCGGATGATGCGTCGAGTGGAGTTGTGTTGGCGGCTTCTGTCGCGAAACCTCAAGAAAAACAACGATTCTATCGGAGTTTCAAAGTTTGGATGAAGTAGGCTGGGTTGTACCGCAGATGTCTTGGATTTGAGTAACTCTTTGAACATCTATTCTCAGTCGTCGTTTATGTACGACATCGGGCCATCCGCCGCCGTTCTAGGAGGCGGTTCTGATATTTCAGTTTGTTTCCCCGTCTACTAGCTCCGCAGTGGCTAAGCGAGGTGCGCGCGTTTTGCGTAGACCCGAAAAACGCAATGATAAGCAGCAGCGTACAGGAGCATGATCGGAGTTTGCATTGGTGTTCCAAAAGGTGCGAAAGGCGTTGACCACTCCTCGCCACCAATAACTGACGGTAATGTGGTCTGTTTGGATTGAGGGTTGGTTCATTGGTTGGGACCACGTTGTCAAGCGATTTCCGCTGTTCCGGAAGTCTGTGCTCCAAAGGAGCAGTCTGTGGTGGACACATCTGAAGTGAGCGACTGCGTTGGTCAGACTGTGTTGCACGGGCACCATGCAGCACAGCACAATCAGGATGACACACAGACATCCACACCACGGTACGACCCAGTCTCTTTGTGACGATATGTTTTCTAACAATTTCTTATCTTCTAGACTAACTTTCCGTCATTCCACTGCTCACTGCCAACCTTGAAACAAGTCTTTTAACCCAAAGCGATTCAAACCAGTTTTACTTGATAAAAGCCCCCAGTAGTCCCGTGCCGTTTATTGCGGTATTCAGACTAGCATACGGTTTTTTTGGTACATTTTGAGCTCCACTGAATAGGTTATTGATGTTGACTTTCATTTGTCCATGTATGAAAGCATGTGTACTCAGAGGCCTCTGTCTTATACTCAGAACAAGTATATGGTGAAACACTTTGAAAATGAGAAAATGGTTGAAGTGGCATATTTCGATGTAATATTTTCGGACTGCTCACACTATCGTATGCAGAGTTTTGCGAGGCCAAAAAGCACCCTTGGTATGTACACGTAAAACATGAACCAGGTGGTCATTTTAACTGCTTCTGTCTGAAAGATGGTTACCGTGCACATAGGTCAACAAGACTTTCTTTACCTACTCTGTAACTTTATTTCAACCAAACCTGCTCACGTATCACCGTGTTTTTTGTTCTTTGGGCCTCACCGACTCCAATTTTTGCTTTTTATACTCAAATGTGAATCAAAATTACTTGATACACTCTCAACATTGACGTTACAATCCTTTGAAGGCAACATGACCTGAACATTTTTACAAAATCTCAAGGCCAGACGGCTAGCATCATTACTTCAGGTGGCCGGCTCAGGCTGTACTTCCAGAGACAACAGTGCACATACACATAAGTTGTATGTAATATTTTAACGTAACGGTAAGCAAGATGAAATTGTCTGCATTTTTTGCATTCATAGTCAACTTTAAGTTGGAATCTACGTGAGCCGAAGTAATAATAACACATCTCTGCTTCCCGCTGGCTATAGTGTGCAGGTTCTCTCCATTTTAAAATGTCGGTAAACGTGGGTGTTACTATTGCCGTGCCAGGAATATAAAAAACCTATCATTGTAACTTGTTTTCACAAATATTGAGGCCGTCCATTTCAATTACCGTGGTGCTAAACTTTATGGAGCCTACTTCAAATCTGTGTGCATTTGGTCAAGTCGATATATCTTGTCGGGGATTCCCACTCTCAACATTCCTGTTTAACTTTGTGATCGACGAAATCATGAGACGAACACTGAGAGGTCTTCAAAACCCCGGTGTTCAAATAGCCTGTGACGAAAACCTTGTCGACCTGGAATATGTAGACGACATCGTTCTCATGTTCGAAGGGGAGGAGAAGGCACAAGAATTCTTGGATGAACTGACTAAAGTCACCCGTCCTTTGGTGTGTACATGAAGTGAACAGGTGATCCTTATAAATGCTATTCAGTTAAGTGACTGTCTTCCGATGGCCAACTTATTCTTCTGTTGCAATGTTCAAATTTCGTACCCCACCACAAATTCGGGGCTTCACAAATCGACTCGCACCAAGTACCGAACAGCGTTTCCTGAGTAATTTCTCCCCACGTTACGAGGAAATCACTGTTGCTTCTGAAGCGCCAAAAACCTCTGGGCATTAGACCATTTTACTTGGTCACCATGTTACTGATTCTGGAATGCGTACGACTGCCACATTTAATGCATGGGTGTTTTAGCCGCTTTTTGAGCTTCCATCAAGTTTGAGGCCTTCTGACCAAGTCAAATTTAACGATGATTCCATCTCTCCTGATTCACAGAGAAATTAGTGGTTCGTACTTCTATTTAATTTCGCCATAAAAGGGCTTTGAAGGGACTCTTCATGTCGAACTCGTCAAACCAGAACCAGAGCCAAAACACTCTAACGTACATCAATATACTTGCCGGACTAAAAAGACTAGTTACTTGTAGATACCTATTTATGGATTCTTCGTTTGCACATCACATGATACTCTCACTGATGTTGCCATTCTTCTATCCCACTAAATGGCCCACACAATCACACGTAACTTGACGGGATTTGTTAAGTTGTAGACGCAGTTCATCAAGTTGCGTACAATGTTTGACAAATTCCAGGTGTTCGCAATCCCATCTCTGATCCCAACCTGGTGGTTGATTCAGTCTCGGTTAGTATTACCAAGCAACACATGTCAGCAAACAGAGTCATAGAGTTGGACAGCATGCTCAGGTGAAATGCAAATAAACGGACAGTAAATAAGCGTTGCTCGTGTGATGTGCATGAAAGGTTTGTATGCCGGATGAAAACCAACCAAAGGAAAACTTCGCACAACGTCAGTGCAACTAGCCTGTGAGGATGGCGTCTGCGTGATACTCTTTATAAATGGCCAGTGAAGCTGTAACATATAACTCTCAATCGACCTCACTGGCGTCTTTGTTGTGAGTTTCCATACAGCTTGTCTGAATGAATGTCCGGAGGTATAGGCACTTAGAAATTTTTTAGAAAGGCTAGCAATATGTATCCTATCTTAATAAATTTCAGCAATAAATCTTTCATCAGATTATGGTTAGAAAGCAGTAGAGCAGCCGTGTTTAAAACCGATGTTTTGTTATAATGGTTTTTGTGATTATTTAAGAATAACAGACTGGCAACAGTGAAACATTTGATAAAATGGTGATCTACCTTGGAGAAGGTCACAGATAATGACCGTCTATAAGGTCATTGCATTAGAACACAGAATGATTCAGAAGCGCTTTGGATCACGTATTCATCACTCGTTTTTGCATCAGCTGTCATATTTTGAGAGATAATATTTGTTGCGGCATCTTACAAATAGGATAAAACTAACCGTTTTTACACCTCATTGCTGATAATGATAGCGTGTTTTACCAATTCCATATAACCAATCTTTGCAACTAAAACAATAGTTTACCTGCCTTCTACAATCCTCTTTCATACGCTAAACTTCAAGGGTTTTGTGCTCACGTCGTTACACCTGTATAGGTTGGCATTGGATTTCTGAACCAGCAAACATATGTGTAAACTAATAAATGGTGGGTTAGTGGACGGTAACTGAATAAGTACGCTTGCTGTAAACCATTTTCCGCAAGTGATAGTGTGAACTAACCAAGGCAGGCATAAATGTGTGATACTCCGCTCGAACCCAGTTAAACCAAACCAATTTTGTTATAATGAATACTGTTCATAGACATAAAACGTAATGATGTTTTCAGAGACTCTGTGCATTTTTAATTATTACTGGCGTTTTGGGTGGTCATCTTTAATAGCAACCCCTTTGTGGCAAAGAGGAATCTTACAAGACTCTTTAAGACTTCTTAAGACAAATATTGGGGATTTATAAACGCAAGTAAGGAAACTACTATTCTGTCTTCAGCAAAAAACCTACGATTTCTAATATTTAAGTTCCTAGCAACTCACCTTATCCTTCATGGATATGAATTCTCGCTTCTTTTCTTCCGAAGGGAATTCAGCAACCAGATAACACAAGGCTCGATAGCACCAGTCTGATAAATCTACTGCTGCATCGTTTAACGTCTCCATGGCATCGGCATGAAAGGTGACGGTTTCCAACAAGTTGGCAACAAGAAGCTCGTGGTAAAGCAATGTGTAGATAGGAAACGAAGAACTAGGTTCAATTTGGTCCCGCAGAAATGAGGAGAACACTTTTTCTTTCCACAGTTCGATGGCCACCAAGTCGGCTACCAACATATCTAATTTCTGATGAGTTACAAGGTACTCTTTCACAAACTCATCACCTTGTGTCTGAGCTGAATTGATGGCCTAGTGGAAGTTTACCATAACAGTCATTGGTTGTGCGCTTACTTGCATGTTCAATTTTGTCAGATAACTGTGATAATTGTACCATCGCTCCAAGCCGTACTCTTCATAGCTCACCATCTCCAGACCTTGAACCATTGCTTCTGCTTCCCCGGGGAAGAGTATATACTAACAAAAATCAGAGGAAACAAATACATCGTATAAAGTCGTTCATTTTTATCTTTTGGAGTCTTACATATAGAAAATTCCTAGAGCCATTTTTTGGTGACAATAACTTGGACCATCGTGCCATACTCCTAGGTGGCTCATCGTATAATTCATTTTTATCTTTTGGAGTCTTACATATAGAAAATTCCTAGAGCCATTTTTTGGTGACAATAACTTGGACCATCGTGCCATACTCCTAGGTGGCTTCTTAAGAGGGCACAGTTGACCGGATCGATAGTAACTAGCAAAGGCAAGTTTTTAAAACATAAGATTAGTGATTGCGGGAAAACACCAGTTTTAAGTTCACACTGTGCCGTTTAAAATCCAGAGATAAAACAAAAGGAGCTACTAAAAATTCAATGAAAGCAAAGTTCTCAGGGATTCACATCTCGATTTTTCAGTGGGTGCAGTCATAATTTCCGTCATTGACAGAGATACATCAGTAACACACACAGGTGCTGAACTGCTATACAACCAACAAGGATAAAAAATTCAACAAATTGCGAAGAGAAAAGATTATGACAAGCGATAAGTACAACTAATTCTTGTGAGTTTATGAAAGCAATAAAAACAGGGTGCGCACTTTTCTGAACTGAACTAAAATAAACACTTACAAGTCTTCTTGAACGTGAAGGATTGACTCAGCCTCGTTTGATATCCCCATATGATGCACGCTCAGCACACAACTACGGAAATACATCAGCTAGTACATCCTCCTGGAAAATAGCAGAAGTTGGAGCCACTGGGCTCAATTAAGTGTCATCGTACATGGGTTTTCAGCCATTTGCAAGCGGGTTAAACGCCTTATTCAGGAGGGTGCAAGGTACGGAACACGATGTAGAGAGCAGACCCACATATACCCTTTAAACTCGGATATTTCAAAACAGTATGCCAAACTCTAAGCCTTGGCGTCCTGACCCTCTTCTCTTAGTTGCCTTCACAGTCCGCTAGTAACGTGGATATGAACATGTTCCACAAAACAACTCCGTCGGTCAGTCTTCTTTAGTTGCTCGAAGAGGTTCCGAGTATGATCTGCTTCTGTGAAGCCGTGCTGTTGCCTCGTCCTGATGTTGCCCCCTTCATATTTATACGTAAAATCTTTTCGACCGCTCACCCATTGATTACCCTTGAGAAAGCACGTCACATCAGTCGATGGCGGTTTGCCCTACACGTCTTTTACATTCTTTATATGCTGGCTCTGCAAGTCAGTTTTATAGCGCCATCCTCTGGAGAAAAGTTGGACGTGTCTGCGATCGACCAAGTCACAAACAGTAGCGAGTGGCGCTGCAATAACGCATGAATTCGTTCAGGTGCCATAGATTTTCGTATGCTCAGTCGCTTTAAAAAGCAGTAGTTTCAAGAATCTGTGGTTCAAAGGCAACCTGGAACCTCTAAAAACCGAACAAAAGAGGGCCAGTAGACCCATCTTGGGGGTGCGTAACCTAACCTTTGCTAGAGACCTGGCAGCTCTGAGCTTAAATCCCGTGCCTTACAAGAGGTTAAAAGGGAACTTATTTTGACATTCTGGATCCGTAGGTCAGAATTAGGTTTTAGTTATTCGATATTAACCTGTGAATGCCCTGCACAGATCGTATGCGGCCTATTTACATCAATATAGTTTAACAGTTCATCCAAGGTCCTCATGTTGTCCGTGAACTTCCCTACAGCTTTCCAACTTCCAATTCACTGTTGTAATTAGCACCACCAACAGGAAAAGGCAAACAGCAATTTAAAAATGTAAGCTGAACTTGTAGTTACTGTGGCTGCTGCTTTTTCGGATTGCATACATCAACCAGCTTGGTTTAGCTGAGTCGAAAATAAAACTATATTTTATTCGCTTATCTGCCGATTGGTTTTCCTGAAGAATCAAGCTCATAGTCAATCTGCTGCATTTAATTTGTCAATCTGCCTGTATTATGACAACACCCATTAACGCACAACTCTGTCAAGCCTATTAGTGACTACTTGACACTAAAGGCTTTTCTAAGCTCGGCCTAGGCAAACCCATTTAGCAGTTGCGCTATCATTCAGACGTAGTACTGTTTGCATTGTGCATGGACGTCTGACAAAAAATGGAGGTCGACGGCGGATAGCAATGAGTATCAGGTCGTCTACCGTGTCATAATACCGTGCTTTTCCTGGTTAAACACACAAAAGGGTCTTAACTAATTAAGAGACTCTCCTCAAGTGGTGCATAAACTTCACTCCCAGAGCCTTAAGACCTTCAACCAGTAGATAACATGAAGTAAAAATATTATTAAGAATGCGGTCCAAAAGTCATAACCTGACCAGATAAACTCAGAAAACTTGAAGGTCTTGATGGAAGAGCGGTTGAGGAGCCTCATTAACTCTGTCATTTCCCACGATAATTTTTAGCCCAAAGTATTGGAAGAGTCTAGCCTAATCGTGATCTATTTACTTCAGGATTAGGCCGTTCATATAAAAGATGTAACCTTACCACTGATCCCTCGGCGGTCATGGTGACCGTTTACAAAAGCGCGGCGAGTTCCTGCTTCAAGGTCATGAATAAGCAAATAGTAGTTGGCAAGATAAAACACGGATTCACGGATTGATACACAGGATCGAGGCTTTTGCCCAAGTTTCCCGGGTCGGTATTGTTCTTGTCCGTCAGTGGCTGTCGTTCACCTGAAGGGCACAAGTGAAAAAAGGGTGTAGCACTGCTCTTTATGTTCTCAGCGCGGGGCAGTATGCTCGCCAGCGCGAGGATTCGCATAAATAAATGTCTAATAGTGCTTTAAATTGGGTTCGAGAAGGAGCATGTACAACCGTCGGAGGAAGGTCATTCCACGCAGCTACTACCCGAAATGAAAAAAAATTTTGTTTAATGAATGTGTGTGCCCTGAGCTTGAAGATTTTCTTACTATGTCCCCGCCGGGTGTTTGCTGGGTAAACGGTAAAAAACCTGTTTGCCAAGCTTTGTTCAAACAAGGCGTAGGTAAGAATTAGGTCCCCTCGGAGGCGACGGTACTCCAGGGGAAAGAGATCAAGCATCGCGAGACGCATTTCGTAGTCCACGGACTTGAGGCCGGCAACAATTCTCGTGGCGGCCCGCTGGACACGCTCAATGAGGGTAACGTCTTTCGTACGTCCTGAGTAGACAACATGGTTGGCGTACCCAGGAGCTGTCTGACGTTGGCCCCATGGAGTATTTGGAAGTCCATGCGAGTAACGCGGGAGAAGGTACGTCGGATCATCCGTAAAACGGCGAATGCCTTTTGGGCCGATTTCTCATGGTGTAGTGAGAAGGACAAGTTTGAGG